CACTTAAGTGCAGCAGTTCAAGTTCTGAGTAGCACGCATATAGGTAAGAAAAACAGAAATGTAGAGAAGCAACACTACAATAATGTACGGAAATGTACGGAAGAGAGGATGTCTAAGTGGAGAGTAGTGGGGATTAGAAGAAACTAGTAGATCGCAAAGAGTAAATACACGGGATTTAATTTTGATACATACCACCAATAAATTCCAACGATTGATTCTAAGCATCCTAAAAAACGCAGTCAGGCAGTTTACACACTTGCCTTCACATGAACCATACTTGACAGACAAAAATTTCATAGATGTTATACATATATCGGCTGACATTGCTCGTAAAGGGGAAGTGTAGCTCAGGATAAGTAACACGTGTACTTCCTCGAATGACTCGTCCTGCATGAATTCCCCCCCTAACTATATCAACTAACTTCAAAGCACCACCATGCATAAGAAAGTGAACGAAAACACCGATGGTAAATCTTAATGTTTACCATATACTCCCCTTTTTTATTTTTATTTTGGTTATAGCTTGACTCCACAATGTATTTTTTGGTACAAGTATGGAATTTTCAGCATATGATATCGGTAGCCCAAATTTTGTAGGCCGACCATTGATATCAGATGTGCATAGGCAGGGGATCGAACCCCGGACCATGTGTATGGTCGGCGAGAGTCCTAACCACTTCTGAACACTTTGAGCAGCAATCTCCGTATGTTTGGCATGCGATTCGCCCCTACAAAATATAAGATGCTGCTACAGGACTGGACCACGTCAACTCCTAACTTAGTGATAGGGAGTGAAGTGATAGAACATGTTGACCACTTCACCTATTTGGGAAGTTGTATTAGCACCAACGGACTGATTGGCGATGAAATCTCAGCACGGATCCGAAAAGCTCGAGCTGCTTTCGCTGACTTACACCATCTCTGGCGTAGGCGTGACATCCGGTTATCAACCAAGGGACGTGTGTACTGCTCAGCAGTTCGCTCCGTCCTTGTCTAAGGCTCTGAAACATGGCCAATACGAGTTGAAGACATGAAAAGGTTGACTGCTTTCGATCATAGATGTCTGCGATCTCTTTCTCACGTTAGGTGGTTTAATAAGGTAAGTAATGTTGACGTTAGGCGTAGAGTGTTGGGCAAAGAGGGAAAATCAATCGACGAGGCTATAAAGTTACATAGACTAAGATGGCTAGATCACGTGCTGCGCATGCCTAACCACCGCCTCCCCCAACGGGCATTACTAGCTGATATAGGTGCAGGTTGGAAAAGAGCCAGTGGTGGCCAAACAAAAACATGGCATCAATCCATGAAATGCGTGACAGTTAAACTGAGTCAGGTAGGGAGATGCAGACTCCCGGGTTGGGGGCCTCGGGACTCTAGGAATCAATGGCTGGAGACAATAGGTGACATGGCTCAAAATCGTTGTCAATGGCCAGCGCAGATGCATATTCAGTCTCTGTAATCTTTCATATTCCTTTCTACCATTACCCATTCTGTTTCACTCTTATACTTGTCAAACTCTATTGATTCTCTTCACTCATCTTCTTGTCTACCTCTGTGTGCTATTTGGAACGTGGCAACTTGAACTGCTGCACTTCGGTGCCAAGTTCTATGTTGAATCCAGACAGACAGAGACAGACTGTGCTACGCACAGTGTACAGAAATATGCAGCGATCTACTGCACAGTACACATGTTTTGTGGATATCATACTTGTACCAAAAATGATGTGAATTAGGAAGTGCTAAATTATCTTTTTGTACTTATGCTGAGATTCTGCTAGCTATGCGTTTATCGGGGCTGATAGAACTTCGCGAATAGGCGAATTAATCGATACGCTTAACTACTTCACTTCGCATTTCGAAAATGAGACAGGTCCTACTATATCATCTTTTATTTGATAGATACGAATCGCATACCACACATCCTAACATTCTGTTCAGTGTCTTCACTGAAGACTGTGCTTGACTTTGGCGAGTCTGCTTATGCCAAGAACCTCTCAGTCCTCCCAAGAATATAGAATTTAGAATCTTTGATTCCGTTAGGCAGCAAGCTGATCTACTTGCGATTATCACAGGAAGACTAGTCCCTTTTTATAAACTGTGATCGACGGTACTATCACAGATCCTCATACACTACCAGACATCTTATTCAATCTAGACGGTAATTCGTCACTATCATTCTTAAACATCTCTGGAGTTATAACATATCCTTCTTTACCTCGTTTTAGATTATAGACAGCTGCTCAAACCTTTGATCGATTAAGGCGGGGGCGATATCTAAATGCCATTCAGCTGGTGGGCAACTTTAGTGAAGGTGTGAGACAGTTGAACTGCTTCTCATACAATGTTTCCTATAAAATTCCAGCCATTCCCCATCTGAGAAGTGATTAAAAGCACAGTAAACCATCTCACTTATCTCAGAATTTTTAGAACTAGTTTTTCTTCTGGCTCTAAAATGTTTTCTGGTGTTGCCTACTACTCATACCTTTCTTATCTCTTTTGCTTTTGTCACCTACTACTGTTTGTGGTCGCTAAAAAAAACTTTAATCAGTTTGTGTTTAAGCGTCTTTCACCGACTACCATATTCACAGCCTGATAGCATTGGTTTCTTTGCAGTTACCAGTTAAAATAGAATTACAGAAATTCACTAGCACTAACGTATCATTGGTTGCACAACATAATTCTTTAGGTGGTCATGTTGCTAACGGTAGGAAAAGAGATAAAAGACAGCACGTAACAGAGAAGTTGAATAAATGAAAGGACAGAGAAAAAAATAACACGAAACTTAAAGGGAATTAGATTGAGTAGTCTACTTGTTGGGATAGAAACTTCAGCTCATGCTGTAGGGTAAAAGTCTGTCACAAATCTACGCCAGTGAGTATTAATTAAAATCAGGGGGTGTTAGGCAGATATTTGAGACTAGCTTCGAGCTCTCCAGCAGTATTCAGTCGTAAGCATACTACAGTTTGAACTCAGGACCATTAATTTTTGAGGTGATCACATAGCTTTCCAGTTATTCGTTTAGAGTCAAACGGTGCATAAATTTTGACTTCAAGTCAATTGATCGATATAGTCGCGAAGATCAGTCTAACCGGTATGTCCTCATAAACCCTTTTTTAGAATTTTAAGAAGCTCACCTATAAACCAGTCACTAGTGAAGAAACGATTAACAGTTAGATAATTTTTGTAGGGTTTCGAATTATCTAATGGTGGGTCCAGTCATACCATACTTTTCTTATGAAAAGTGTCACACTTATTTTTGAAGTATTTTATAACCTTCCCTAGTAACTTAAATATGGATTCTGGGCAATGACGTACGTACTTTTTAAGTGGACACACAAGATCGAATGGAAGTAAGTTGGGTAAAGCAAGAAATATTTAAACTATCGTCAAACAGTTAATGTGTAGGTGAGATTGTTTTACATAAGATATTTCCAGATTGTCTTAATTCAGTTTTTTGCAGAATTTTCTTCAAACTAATATCCTTTGGGAATGATTGATTTCAAGAACACGAAAGTTGACACAGACATTAAAGTCATGTGTCCACCGTTTAATGATATCGGTAATACTAACCACCACATGTAGAGTCAACAGTCTTTTTATGAGCATTAGGAGGCTGCTCAGTCGCATCTTATATACTTCAAGCGACCGTAATTATAACGAAATCGAATGATTCCCGAAATGAATACAATAAGTCAGATGACTGAACTCGCAATTGTATTCTGACATTTATTATGACGGCGATACTGGGTGAAATCATGTGGAGACAAAATGGAAGTTTAGAATCATTTGGTAGCGATTAATGAACACATATATTTCAATGCAACACTTGTCACTAGAAAATCCATAAGAAACAGTATGTTATTTATGTCGATTTTCTGGGACACCCGTAAGCTTACATGATCCCTTTGTAAAACACTTAACTAAGAAAATCGAAGCAATATATCTTAAAAGAGCGTGGTATATAGCCATGATAATGCATTTATATGTAGAAATCAGCCCTTGAAGTTACCATATTTTGAGCACCCTAAATAATTTGGATCAACTGAATGGTTATTTATTGACAGTTTGGTCACCACTTAACGCTATGAAAACGACTGAATTAATGACTTATTGACTACACTATGTTGAATGTCTGTAGTCTCATAAAGGGACGAAACGACCCGTCTTGACAAACTACTTCCACAAATACGCCAATCGGTGCTACTCAATATTTACATTTATACACACAGACAGTTCTCATTGCTAACTTGTTACAACTTTTGAAAGCTCATAGCTAAATCAGGTGGACAAGTAGTGGGAGATCGTTATTATGCAGGTGTTTATAAGTAGGAAACTGCACCAGAGCTTCTTGATCTAATGAAGCCACAGTAAGCTCAAGTAACATGCCTATATACTGATCTCCCCTCTTATTAGAGTCCATATCCTAACTCTAAATACGTGATTAGGTAATAATACATACATCTTGATGGGTGACAGTGTCACTGAACTCAAATGCCAAGGCGGTTAGTCCATCAGTTACTTCAAAGAACATAATAACAACTACTTGCAAGCATTACATTTTTATGTCAGTAATATGATTTTCAGCAAGAAACAAGATTAATCACCATATATTAATTTGGGATACTGACTCAAACTCGCACGACCAATACAACTGAAATAATAAATTTTGTTCTGGACAGTGAATACGACGTTAACTCAGTTGAGACAAGCTATATCGCAAAAATTGAGTTGTAGTGCGGATTTTATAACTACGTTTATTATATTCCAGTCTTCTGAAAACAATTCCAGGATCAATTTTACGGAGCCTTTAAAACAAATTAAATCTCTTCCTTAGAAATATAAGATCAAATTAGACAGATTCAGGTTCTAACGAATATTGGACAATAATTAAGTACGCAATCGTCACGCTCAGAATATAGGAATTATCACTAAATCCAATAAAACGCTTGATCTCAGTATTTAAAGATCGGAGGATGATAAATACCAATCACAGAACTTACCAAGATTAGTTGGCGACAAAGACAGCACGCAATAACGCTTCTTCCACTACAATATATAAAAAATATCAATGAGAAACCGGTCGAATTTTACAATTGTTAAAACATCTGGTTCACCTCTTACCTTCTTACCATCACGATACCGAGCATATCCTTCTAATACAATCCTTATTTTTGAGGGCATCAAAACATCCAAAGTAGTTTTATATGTATGATAAAAATTATCCACTTGTTTTGACCACTTTTACAGTAAATATTATGCTCAAATAGAGGTAGGATAGACGTAAAACCTCCGTGTTGCCATGGCTTAAGACTCGTGACCCTGGCACACGTGATGGGAATGACCTTCACCACACAACAAACACAAGGTCACCCAGATGCATAATTTTAGTTTAACGAACAAAATACCATTTAAATCGGTATGAAAATAATTTCTAGAATTTTAAAAATTCGAAACTTAGTAAATATTCAAATTTTATTTCATTAATCGAGGTGATAGTATACTGTTGCAGATTTAGTCTTGACTTGCAAGAATTTAAGAACATATACCTATGCCAACTTTTAAAAATACCTTAAAATAACAGGGATGTTGACCTGATTTGATTCTGCCAATTTACGTTATGAATTCTGCATAAGGTAAATATTGTTAGTATGACGGAGTTCAATTCTGTGATATTTTTACTTTTTTAATTTTCGTCAGTGGTATGTCGTGTCATCTAAACTACCCAGCTCTTCTTAATGTGGATGAAGTAAAGATTTGGAAAACCCAGACCACTTTCATACCAAACAAGGGCTATGGAACAGAACAGAAAATACAGGGGCAATCAAGATGCTAAAAGCTGGAAAAGCAGCAGGACCAGATGGAATCACAGCAGAAGCATTGAAAATGGACCCAAAGACAACAGCAAACTTGATAACGCCCTTACTGCAGAAGGTGTGGAAAGAGGGCAAAGTACCCGAGGATTGGAAGAAAGGATAATTAATCAAACTACCAAAGAAAGGAGACCTAAGTCAATGCAAAAACTGGCGCGGAATCATGCTTCTGTCCATCCCAAGCAAAATACTAAGCCGCATCATCCTCGAGAGAATCAAACACGCCACCCTGAATGCAAACCTCCGACCGGAACAAGCTGAATTCAGGAAAAACAAGTCATGTATTGATCAAATCGCCACACTACGGATCATCATTGAACAAAGCTTGGAATGGCAGTCACCTCTCTATCTCAACTTCATCGACTTTGAAAAGGCCTTCGACAGCGTCGATCGAGAGGTCATTTGGAAACTACTTCGCTACTACGGGGTCCCATCGACAATTATACATCTCATCCAACAGTTATACGACAATACTGCATGCCAAGTAATTTACAACGGGAAACTTACGGAAGCCTTCGAAGTGAGGACGGGAGTGAGACAAGGCTGTCTACTATCACCAATGATTTTCCTGATTGCAGTAGACTGGACAATGCGACAGACAACGGTGGGCAACAAGGAAACAGGCATAAAATGGACTCACACAAAAAGAGACTTGGAGGATCTGCACTTCGCCGATGACATATATATGTCTGATTTCCCACAAACTGGATGATATGCAAGTGAAAAGCAACAAGTTGGCGATAGATGAAGCATCAAAGATACGACTTCCCTCAGGTGAACATAGATAAAACAGAGGTGATGAAGATTCCTGGCCAACAGCAACAGCAACAACAACAACAACAGACAACAATCAGCCATCATAAATGGGAGGAACCTGAAAGAAACAACCTCCGTCACCCGCCTACCTATCTGGGAAGCCTCGTTTCAATTACAGGAGGAACTGACTAGGATATCAAAGCACGGATCAGGAAAGCAGGGCAAGCTTCCATTTCTCTCAAGTCTGTGTGGAGGTCAACGGCCCCACTCAGCGTGAAAATGAAAGTAAGATCCGGATTTTCAACTCCAATATGAAGCCAGTCAGTGCTACTATACGGATCAGAGACTTGGCCAGCGCGTCATAAAGAGCATCTCAAACAAACTTCAGACCTTCATTAACAGTTGTCTTTGCTCAATACTCAAGATCAGATGGCTGGCCAGAAAAGATCAGCAACAGTCATGGATCTCTGGCAATGAGCGAACCAACCAGGAACCGATTGCGAAACAAATAGGCAGGAAGAAATGGAGATGGATTGGCTGGCCGTACTCTGAGGAAACCATCAAGTGACATCACTAGACAAGCCATTGCTCGAGTGGAACCCGAAAGGGAAGCGGCAAGTTGGTCGTACAAAGGTGACATGGGGGAGGTCATGTGAAGAGGAGATGAAAGCACGTGGGCAGACCTGGATCCAGGTGAAAACGGTGGCAGGAAACCGAACGCAGTGGAGGTGTGCGGCTGAAGCCCTATGCTCCTCTAGGAATCAAAAGAAATAATAATAATGGTTGATGAGTGCAAATGTTGTTGAACATCAGACAAATGTCCAGTGACCTTGCTTCTTCGGACTAGTTTCTTTTTAGCTCAGGGTAAGAAACCCTGCCGAGGCCTTATAGCTTGCCATGTGATAGAAATCCAGAGAAAAGAGACCATCAGTTTGGATGTATATCACGTTGACCTTTATTTGTACAATTTTCGTACATTTATGATAGCCAACCATGAAGTAGATGATCAAACATTTGCATAATTAACTTCCTTACACTGATCGGTTGTTAAAAAATCTTCGACTTCCTGTCAACCCTTTTCTATCACTCGCGACGAGGTTGGGTTGTATATTATGTACATAATTTGTATTCAAAATTCTGAATAGTTGTCTTCTGCCTATCGCAGTAGTTTTTGATTGCATTATCGGTGATGAATTTTCTGTAGCTTCCCATATGCAAGTAGAAAGCAACTTAAGACCATCAACCATAAGGTAATGATAAAGTTGCCTGAAATAAAGTAAGGGTTTCCTAGGTGTAGCAGCAGTAATTATCTTTTTAAAGCGATAGGTATATCATACCCTTGGGACATCGTTTGGTTTACAGGCATTATTATCGAAAAGAAGCTTTTCGATTTTGTCAATGCAGTTGAAGATTGAACGATCAATTCATGGTTGTTTGCTCAAACCCAACTCCTCCATATTTTGGCGGGGGTAACCGATACTGCAGTCATCGTTCCATCGTTCGCTGTTCGTTAGAAGACGGAGAAATACTATCAGAAGTATAATTGCGATTGGCTGTTATGACACCTATTCTTAGATTTTGTGCATAATAACGTTATGGTCGGTTCTTTATTGGTGCAAGAATAAAGGATTCTTGAGTCACCAATCTGTGTTCTGGTTTTTCGCGTTGGTTATTGCACATTGTTGCTGAAAGTCTTCTAAGGACAGTGTTAAGTCCAGTGTATTTAGACCTGGACATTAACAGCTTCTGATATCTCCTGGAATTATACGTCTTTCTTTGCGTCTGCAAGTCTTCTTTGGACGAGTGCTATTTGTAACTTTTCTGGATCGTCTGGTAACTTTCGATAATGCCTGGGTCAAAGAAAGGACAAAGCGTTTTGATAGCAGACAGGGAAGTAAGTAATGCTGAGTTGCCAGTTATTTGTAATGATGTGTATGCTGCTCAGCATGATTAGATTGATGTCCATGTTTCGCCATCTAGTGATAATGGGGGTTTTAAAATTCCGAAATTTGAGCGTCAGTATTTCGATGGAAACCCAGCTGACTATCCACAGTTTTTAAAGGAGTTTGAAGTCGTGTTGAGTGGTTTTGCAATAAGTGACGAAATGAAGTTGTTGTATCTGTTGAGGTATTTCACTGGAGTCGCTGCAAGTGCTATACAGTGCCGCAAGTTTATGCCTCCAAACGAAGGATATACCGAGACGATGCGTATCCGGCGTCAAAGGTTTGGAAGACCTTCGATGATTTTAAGGAATGTATTCCAAGCTGTTAAAGGTAATGGTAGTCAATTACGAGATGACTCCAAGACACTCACTGAGTTTCTGGATAATCTGATGACCTACAAGACTACGTTGATTTCGATGAATTGCATGAGCTATCTGAACTCAAGTTCCGTCCTAGAGATAATAGCGAGACGCCTACCTACTCGACTGCAAAGGAAGTGGGTGAAGATAAGCTCTCGTATAGAGGATGAAGGTTTAGAGGCAGGGTTCGACGATATACTGAGATTGGTGACAGATAATGTTAATCAGACTACGAATAAATTCGTCAATATATTGCTTCCGGCTTCTGAAACGGAGAGGTCAGCGAGTAAGACAAAGTCATTTTTGACAAGAGGTTCTCAAAGCATTGGACGTTCCTTAAAGTGTGTTATATGTGGTGACGCACACATACTTAGTGAGTGTGCTGGTTTTCTTCAGACGTCTCCGACAGAAAGGCTACAAATTGTGAAAAGGAAACGGTTGTGCTTCTGCTGTTTAAAGGACGGACACAAAAGACTTAACTGTGGGACAGCTGAGAATGTTGATAGTGGTTCTTTGGGATCGAACAATAAGGGGAGTTCTATTAATTGTAGTAGCAGTATTGCACCGTATGACTTCCAGAAGGTCTATTTGGGTGTCGTGCCAGTAAGAGTAGGAGGGCTAAGGTCATGTGTCGTAACATATGCGTTACTAGACAATGGTTCTGACATTACATTGATAGATGCTAAGCTGGCTGGGTGCTTGTGTATTAAGGGCCTAAAACAACCCTTGGTCCTAAACACTCAATTCTTCGAAAGCGGTAGTGTGTGAACGAGTGTCATTTCAGTTAGAATCCTTGACTACTGGAGGAACTGTTGAAGTAGGTACTGCTTACACTACTTCCAGTATGAAACTCGGCGAAGCTATAGTACCTGGTCACGAAACAGTTGTCGGTAAGCCATACCTGTGTGACATACCTCTTCCAACACTGCAAGATGGTAGAGTGAGAATACTCATTGGATGTAGTGTACCAGAACCTCACAAGGTATTAGAAGAGAGATACGGAGGTAGAGATGATCTGTTCGCGACAAAAACACCACTGCGATGGGCAGTGAGAAGACCTATACCCATAGTCCACATATCATCATTGGTTACAAAGAATGGGGACAAATTGGGAACTATGATTAGAAATATGTATGATAAGGAGTTTTGTGACTGCAGTGTCCCAGAGAAGGGTCGTTCTGTGGGAGACTTAAAGGGAGTTAAAATAGTTGAGGAGTCTTGTCAATATGAAAATGGGTATTTCAGCGCTGGTTTACCATGGAGATTTAAAGACAGACAGTTAGTTTGTAACGGAGAAGTTGTTCTTAAGAGATTAATGGATTTAAAGAAGTTTCTGACGGATACAGACCTCTGGACCAAATATAAGGATGTCGTAGACAAACATGTAATGAAGGGTTACGTTGAAAAACCAGTTGATCAGA